ACGCGTATTTTATACGAGGTGCCTATACATCGGCATTAAAATCTTATCAAAGAGTATTAGAATTGTGTCCAAAATCATTGTATCCAATGATACAATTAGCAAATATAAAATTGGTTAGTTATTATTTTAAAAATTTGTTATATTTATTACATTTATTTAAAATATTACGAAATTTTTAACAACTATTTTAAAAAATATTATTTTATTATTTTATAGATTATTGGTCAATATAATGAAGCAAAGAATGATTTTGAACATATATTAATATATGAATCACGTTATATTCCTGCTTTAAAAGGATTAGCTGAAACTTGTTTAGCACTAGCAAAAGAGTATATTGCTAAACAATTTTTGGGTCGCGCCAATGATTGTTTACAACAAGCAATGAATAGTTTGATTATAGCTATTAAAGAACGTAAAGATACATCCTGTATTTGGAAATTACTTGGTGATATATGTTATAAAGTAGCAATATTACCCGAGAAATACAGTTATTTAAAAGTATCATCCATTTTAATAAAATATGAAGATATAGAAAATATAGTATTGCTTAAAAAACAAGATATGTTCTCCTTATCTATAAGGTATATGAAACATTAGAGATTCTAGATCACAAGATTCTATCAAATATAAAAGTAAAATATCAAATTTTCTTATAGCTTAAAAAAAATTCAAATTCATATTTTTCAGATGTTATTGTTGTGCACTTTCTCTTTCTCCACAATCAGCTTTATTATGGCATGATTTAGCTTTGTGCTACTTAATGCAACTACAATATGATCCATCAATCAATCATAAAAATCTTGCTAGTAAAAGTCTTGCTGCTGCAAAACATGCTGTTAAATTAAATCCTTCAATATGGATACATTGGAATCTCTTGGGAGTTATTTGTATGTCACCATATATAAAAAACTTTGCATTAGCACAACATGCTTATATTATGGCAATTGATACAGAAATAAATAATGCTATAGTATGGTGTAATTTAGGAACATTGTATCTGTACACAGGTATTTAAAAATAATAATCTACATAACAATAAATATATTATGTTTTACAATAATTAATAAATAATAAATTATATAATAAATAAATAAATAAATTATAACATAAACTTTTCTTTAAGATATGTAGAATCATCATAATGTTTTTCTTATATTACACAAAATAAATTGCAATTAAATATTTAAATAATAGTCTCCTTAATTATATTTTCATGTATAATTCAATGATATAATTATATATACTTTTTGTAACAGAAAATTTATATAAAGCAAATGAAGCTTATTCTCGAGCTCAGCGTGCAGATCCAGCATACATAAATAGTTGGATAGGGCAGGCTTTAATTGCCGAAATGATGCACCGAAAAGAAGCAATGGATTTATTTAGACATGCAACACAATTAGGATATCACAGCCAAGCTGCCATAGGATATACTCATTGGGTACTTGATATGATTTTAAATTCTGATTCCAAAAAGAACAGTTTAAATATATATGTTACAGAAAATATGAATGCTGTATTTGCTGCTGCTGATGTTATGACATGGTATATAGGTAAGTTTATATTATTTAGAATATTAGAATATTGATTAACAAAACAATCGATTATAATTATTAATAAATTCGATTATTCAAATAATATCATAAAACAATAAAAGGAATTTGTCAAATGTTCTTGTATTATAATTATTATTAATTTATATTATTAATTTTTTTTATTTATATTTTTATTTTATTTTTCTTTTAATTATTACTTTATTATTATTTATTTGTATTACTTATTAAAATTATAAAAATATAGATATTAGTTTTATGCATTTTAGTATATATGCATTATAGTATATATATATATATATATATATATATTGTATTATATTATAGAAAATCATCCAAATGATTGTTATGCTCGAAATGCATATGGATTACTATTACAAAGACAGAAACTTTATAAATCAGCTGCAGAACAATTTGCAGTAGCTGTATGTAATAGTATTAATAACGAAAAAGATCTAGTCTGTATAAATCTAGCACATGTATTAATAAAACTTAAAAAATATAATGAAGCTATAAAATTATGTCAAGCAATTCAAAATATTAATTATAATTCTCAATGTCATTTAGCATTGGCTTTATTCAAAGGTAATTATATTTTTATATTAATATGTTTTATTTATTAATATATTAATACATGAATGATAATGCCCTGTTTCAAAACTATCTTTAATATCATATTTCACTGAAAAGATTTTAAAAAATATAGATTTAATAAAATTTATTTTATTTTTAGCTGCACAATATGAAGAAGCATATACCACATACGAAACAACGTTGCAGTTTTTGGCAAATACAGAAATAGAGAAATCATATGCACTGTGCGCAATGGGCGCAATAGCATATACCTTTCAAAAAGTAAATGATGCAAAAACTTTGCTTTTCCAATGTATACAAATACAACCGCCTGTTATAACTGGCCTTTTAGCAGCTGCATCATTAGGAATATTACATGGTGATATCAATTTAACTACATTGGTATTAAATGAATTGCAATTGTATGAAAATCATCTTGAATATGGTTATCATGTTGTAAATTTATCTGCATATTTTTATTTAATTGGAAATGATGTTAAAAAAGCTATTACTATTCTTTCTAAAGCAATTTTTACACATCCTAGTAAGTAATATAGTATTATTCCAAAATTAACAATTCGCTCAGGACTGATTAATTATTTATTACAAGCCAAATACATAATTTGATTTGTTTTTGTTCTCGAATAGGATTTTTTATTTACAGGTAATGTAAGAAATTGGATTCGATTACTCAGGATATTATTGGAAACTAATGTACATATATTTAGCAAATGTGCTCAGAAAGTATTGTTCCTGAATAAATATATTACTTCTGAAAATCATGCACATGTTGCATGTGCTCTATCTTATAGTTATTTTATGCAAAATTTAGTACCGACCAGTATTATAGCTATGCAAAAACTTGTTTTCACTTATCCTGGTAATATTGAAAGCTGGGCTATGTTTATTGCAGTATTTTTGTCAAGGTTTGTAAATGAATTTTGATTTTTGAATTTTTTTATTTAATTTTTTAATTAATTTTTTTATTACTAAAATATCTAAAATTTCGATAAAATATCATAAAATATCAACTTCTATAATTTATTTTATTTGTTTTACATTATTATTATACTTTAAGTTATCGGCACTAGCTAAGTTTATTCAGTTTAAAAATAATTTATGATTATGTGCAAATATGCAGTAATGACTGGTGATTTAAAATCATGCAGTTGTTGAATCGAGATTCGAGAATCAATATCAAGATTTTGATTGTTTAGAATAAAAGATTTTAAGTGACAAGCGATAAGCAATTCACGTTTTCATTACCTTGAAAAATAGGAATATTGTATCTAAAAGGTTTAATAATGGAGTAGGTAAAGAATATCTTTTCTGGAAGAGGATTATAAAGAACTTTAACGCAATATTTTTAAAATATATAAATATATTCAAGTATATAAATATATATATACTTGAATGATTGACTCATTATCTTAACAAAAATTATTTTCTAACATACGGAATATTCGAATAAAGAAATTTGATTAGAGATTTAAAATAAACACGAAAATTAATATGCACAAATCTTAAATCTTACATATTAAATTATAATATAATTTTATTTTGCATTAAATAAAGGAAAAAAAATAAAATCGTTTAAATCGTTAATTCCATCTAATTAATAAATTGATGATAATTCGTAATTTTTTTAAATTAAATTAAATGAATCTAATAAGACTAATTTCCTAAAATATAAAAGATTTTTGGAAAAGAAGGTACTTTCAGATGGTGTGAGATATATATATATTGTATTAATATATTCGTAGAACACTTTTAGAAGTTTGATTCTAAACATATATAAATATAATAAATATAAATTGGCAAACAAAAATATCAATTGAATTTTATTATTATTATATTAAATTATATAAATAATTGAATTATAAGGCGAATCGCGAAGAGTGAAATGATTCTAATTTAATCTCTATTTTATTTCAACTAATGCAAATTTAAATTCTTTATAACTTAATAAATAAATTCCAAATAAATAATAAAATCAGAAATTTTTGTATATCAATTTTTGTGTTTGTTTTAGCCTCTAAAATAAAATAGAGAAAAATATCCTACAAATATATTAACATCAAGTATATTTAGACTTCACCTCACTTGTACACACTTTTAGATATTCTTTTCATTTATGAAATATATATGCTATGTATATTTATATTCATATATGTTTCAGAAATTTTAAAATTATTTACAGGTCTGCAATTAAAAGTCATAAGATTGATGTAAAATGGCTCACAATGCTTATAACAAGCATACAAAAAAATTATGAATCTACAAACTCGATGGCTAAATGGTTAAATGACAGCAAAAAAAAATTAGAAGATCTGCGTTAAATAACAAATTTTTTCCTATTTATAAATTTTAAAATAAATTTAATATAAAATGTAAATAACTTGATATATAAAAAGAATTTTATATATTACGTTTATTATATTATGTTTTAAGATTGATTGAAATAAAGATATATTTTCTTATTAAAAATTTAAAAAATTATAAAAATGTTATATATAATACTTTACATATATCTATATTATCGATTATTTTATTACGTTTTCATGTTCTTAAATAAGTTTTCTACTTATTTTATTCGCAATTCAATTTATTTTTCAATTTATTTATAAGTTTAAAAAAAAATATAAAATTAGTAAAATAAATTAAATTACCATAATATATTTTTGTATTATGTATAAATAATTTGATATCTCATATAATTAATACTTTTTATAATTCAGTTATTAAAAACTTAACAAGACCAAATTTATTTTGGTATATTTATTTCTTTAAAAAGAATCCTTACAATTTGATATTTCTTATAATATTTGTTTCGAACAAATATAAATATATATTTAATTTTTTAATTTTACATATTTAATACATAATTATTATGAATTTTATTTCACATGAAACCGTTTTAAAAGCTTAGTTATTTCTTCTAAATTTTTTTCAGCATGTTGAGCAATTTTTCCTTCTGGCAGAATTTTTGGTTCATATTTTAATAATTGATAGCCATCAATTAAATATTTTTTTGATTCCTGCTGTAAAAAGAAAGAAAAATTTATTCATTTTAAACATCTTATCTTGAATTCAAATATAAATGACAGTATTTGTATTCATAAATTAAATTTTTCTTTTTTATAAATGCATTAATAATTTTTTTTAAAAATGTATTTCTATAAATAATGATAAAAAATGAATGTTTCGTAATTATTCAAGGAATATTTTATAAATATTATAATCTATAAACTATAAATTTTATGAAAATAATATTTTTGATATTGTTTTGCATATTTTACAGCAATATAAATATAATATTTGCGATTTGTTCGACTAGGTATTCAAAAATTATGAAAAAAATTTACAAAAACCTGTTTGATTAATTCAAATAAATCCGAAAAAATTGATTAAATAGAAAATTAAAAATTCAATTTATCTCAATCGAGGAAGTACTTCGATCAAGAATTTCTTAAATCAATTTAAAGTCTATAATATATTATTAATAAAATTATGTTATACTTTTTTAGAATAAAAATGTTTATTTCATAATTTACATTATGATTAAGTCTTATTAAAATTAGAAAAAAATTTAAACTATTATAATTTCGAAGATAATGATTATCGATCAATGAATGAAAAAGATCGATATTGAAGTTTTATTTGTGACTTTTCATGAATTGTAATATAAAAAATTATACGGATATAAATTATATATAATATTTTATATAATATGACATATTTTCTATATATTATTTTAAATATATTAATATTTAAACATATTTTAATTTCATAAAAAAAACGCAATTGAATAATTAGAATATCAACCAAAATAAATTTGACCACTTTATATTTTTTGAAATATTAACATTAATCTAATTATAATCTAAAGAATTCAAATATTTTCGTATGTAATAATTAAAAGTCTTTTTATCATATACATTTAAATACACATATTATGTCATATTATTTCAATATATGTATTCATACCATTAATGATATCATAGTTTCCTCATTTTTATATCTTCTACTTAATTCTGCAAGAGATGCATGTAACTCAAAAAGAATTAAACCTCGAATTCGGTTTTCAGCTGAAACAAAAAATACAAATTATTTATCAATATTAATAATATTTTACATATCTGTGTATATTTATCAAGTACAATATTTATGAATTGATAATTTTTAGTGCAAAAAATATGAAACAAGAATGAAACTTTCTTTGCAATTTTTGTTTTGTATTAATATTTATTAAAAAATTATGATTGAATATTATCTGCTATTATAATATAAGATTTAACAATATTAATAGATATATGAATATGTATTGAATATGAATATTTATAATCTATTTTTACAATTAATGAATTCTTATACCTCTATTTATCGATAGCCAAGCATGTGTGAGATCGGTAAGACGATTGATTACGAGCACGTCCAACTTCGTTCAGTCGTCGTAGGGATTGGTTTAGAACGAATAGGGTTTTCAAGAATTCTTCACCTAACATAGTATATTAGGTCAAGTATATTTATATACAAGGTGATCCAGATAAAATTTTGTCAATATAATTATTTTAAAATAATGTTATTATAGCATGGGTTGATTAATTATCTTCATTTCTGAGATGTAATAGAATGAAGAAATGATAAAATTCACAAAATTCACATACAAGTAATCACATGCAACTTCAATTATTAATTTTTAATATTAGTCATACGTTTTAATATATCTTTGATAAAATGAAGTATAAAATGAAAATAAATATTTATGATATTTTGTTTCGAAAGATGAAATTAAAAATAAATATTAAAAATTTGACATAGCAAATATAATTATTCAATATGATTATATTGAATCTTTAATATTTTTTCATAAATCATAATTCATTTTTATTTATTATATTCTATATAAATGATTATATTGAAATAAAAGCACTGAAAAATTTTATTATTAAATTTCGTATATAAATAATTACAATAATAAATATATCGTATAAAAATAATTATAATAATCCAAAATTCAAAGATCAGTTTGTAATGCAAAGTTTGAGGATTCATTCCTTCTTCCAAAGAGATAATGATGATTCTGATACGAAAGATATAATAATAATAAAAATGAGAAATTTATCAATGATTAATTCTTAATTCAACAAACACAAAAAAACAAAATTAATTTTATTACATATACAATTAGTAGTTCAAACTCTATGTAGCTCAACTTTCACATTAAGTTATAATGACAAGTCAGATCCATCATTCAAGAAGGTATCAAAGTAAAAAAGTAGCACGAACCAAATATGGGGAAAATCTATCTAGGCTGGTCCAAACAATTATACAAAATTTCATGAAAATCGGCGTGTATCAATCACCGATATCAGTTTCCTTGTAAAAATGGAATCACAGAGAGTACACAAATAGTTTTCTTGTTACTTCGTCACAATGTACTAGTGACCTTAATCCAATTAAAAATTAAAGGATTAATTTAATTTTATATTTATTAGTTATTATATTCTGGAAAAAAAGTATATCATATATATTTCATATACCTGGAACGAGCAATTTAAGCAAAGTATCCAATTTTTTGCATAATTTTATTTTCTCAATCAGAAGATCTTCCTCGATTACCGCCAATCCTCCAGTTTGTTGTCCAATCAATTGAGTCAAGGCGATCGTCACATCGATGTTATAATAATGATTTGGATGAAGATTATTTTTATATCGGTCTAGAAATTCTTTACATGCAACAATATCGTTTTTCTTCATATTTGATAGGCGTATACCAATGTCTTCCAACATTTTTTCAATCTCTGTACAAGAAACGATCGATTCACAAGTTTTGCATACGTAATCTTGTTCTTGTTCAAGGAAAGTTTTTGGCAATACGTATCCTGAACAATTTCTGAAAATAAATAAAACAAAATCATTTCTTTAATTTCTTATGGAAATTCTATTAAATGTTTAGTTTGAAAAAATTTATAGCAAGAAAATTCAAAATTTATACGAAAAGTTTGACAAATTTTTATTATTTTCACCAATTTCTTACTCAAATATGCATATACATTATTTTATTAAATGGAATCTTTTTAAAAATATTCTTAATTTTAATAAGAATAATTTATATGAAATATGAATCAATATTAACTCACATTTTATTGCATTTTAAAGCATTGAACATAGTTTGAAATTCTGTAGGATCTTGACATCGATTACAAATACATTCAAAAAATTTTGTTTTAAGAAGGTGATGTCTTCTATTTGCAGTACCCCATAATGGATCAGTATAACATATAGAAATGTGATCTCCTAGAACATTATTACAATTATAAGGTTATATGTATTTATAAACAATTAAAAATAAATAATTCGTAATAATTAATGATGAATTGATCTCTGAATAGTTTACAATAGTTTACAAAAAGAGAAAAAGGATTTTATAACTTTTGTAACACACAATCGTTTACCAAGCATCGATTTTTTTCGTTCTTTCTAAATTCTCCTTTTTTTTTTATTTCATTCAATAAACATAACGCACGTACAACAGGCTTTATTTCAAACTATAAATACGTAAATATACGAATTTATTTATTTCGCATGCTTACAACACATACACAAAAATATTAGTTATTAATTATTATTATAAGAGAACATAATTAAATAAATTATCTGTATTTTATATGATCACCTTTCGTAATAGGTAGTGCAGCACGAATAATCAATCCTCCCATATCGGTGAAACTTTTTGAGCAATTGGCTCTACAATTATGCTCAATTAATGATGCCATTTCATAAACCGCTACGTATGGTGAGTCGGTTAATGGAACTTCGTGACCATTAACCTGTAATTTAAGAAGAATCTATTTATTGTTTATGTATTTTTAAAAAAACAATGATCGACTATTCAGAATTACT